TCTGCGAAGGAAGGATCACGGACCGCCCGCGCCGTTCATTTCGACGTTTTCAAATAGTTCGTACAGGTAGGAGTACCTTGCTAGATAGGAGTATTGTTCACGTCTGGACAAGTCTCGGCTCTCACCTCGCATCGCCCCAGGATAAGGGAGAAGGAAGAAGGAAAAGAGTAAGGATGTTGCGACAAGGCCGCCATGTCCGGCGGATCAGCCACGCTTACTCACCCACTGTCTCGCACACTCCATCGCTGGCTCAACATGATATGTGTGGTGTCTTCAAGGTTAAATCATGGAGAAAGCACGTCTTCGAGTCCAACGATATTGGGCCGTCCAGATGGCTCGCAGCTATGGAGATATCGGCTCATGAGCTGTACCAATTCATCATTTCCTCTAGGTGAAGGCGAAGACAATACCCCACTTCGGCTCCGGCGCTCGAAGAACAGGTGCCTTGCTAACCCAAGGAACCACTCCCGATGGCTGGTCTCTTCACTTGATGATGGCCGTGCGGCTGCTCCTGCTGTTTCTGCCGATTGCGACGCCGATTGAGATGAAGCGGTTGACGGTGTTGCTTGGACACCCAGACAGGCCATCCAAAGGATGATTTCCTCGTGTTGTTCCTGCCAGTTTTCTTCCGATTGCACCAGCGCGAAGAGCGCCTGGTGAAGGCGATTGATATCGGACCAGGAGGAGTTACTTGGGTCTCTGATGGACTCATTCTGTGCTCGGGAGCGCCTCGCTTCTTCCACATCCGCTATGATGATTAGGAAGCTCTGTTTGATACACTCGGACAGCATCAACTGCAGTCTATCGCTTGGGGAGCCCGGAGATATTGAAAGTAGTCGATGGACAATGGCGTGTGATCGTCTCGTGGCCCATTTTTCGACTGGAGACCGGCTGAAATTGTGAACGCGATTGTATTGCTGCACTTGAAACCACTGTATCATGTCAACGAGGATGGGTGACAGTTCCGGCTGCACCATTGATCCGTACTGAAGAAGGCCAGCGCCGCTTGGTATGACTCCGCTCTGAGCCAGAGCTGGAAGTATTTCATCCCGCATTTGCTGGCGTGGAAGCAAACCGGGATCCCAAGTGAGAGGCATCAAGGGAGTTTCACCGGTCCCGCCGGCAACCAGCAGATCCCAGAGCCAGCAAATCAATCGCATGGGCGGGTCTAGAATCTCGAGACCTCCGAGTGACTGAACAAGGTGTTTAACCATCCGTAAATGCGTTCTAGCCCCCTCAAAATTCTCCACGTACCGTTCAAAGGTCGACAGTGCTTTTAGATCGAATATCAGACTCTCATTAGCCTGTGGAGCACTGGCCAAATGGTGTCTTAGATGTTGAAGAGCTTTGCCCATGCAGTATTCCGGGGAATCATGTCGGTCAAGTTGAAGTCTCAGAACGTATTTCAAAAACCCAGTACTCGCAGCGAGCAATGAGAACATGTGCATCCTGTTGGCAAGACAGCCCTGCACGATTCGATTGATAGTGGCAAGACAGGACTCGGAGGTAGGCAACGTCTCATCCAGCACATCTAGATCTTGAAATACGGACGGCAACCAGGACTCGACGGCGTACCGAAAAGCATTGTGTGACCACCAAGCATCGTCTGGAGACTCTAAATAGGTGAATGGGTCGGTAGAGCTCCCAGTGATGTGTGTCATTGCGGCAGGTGAGGGAGCCGCCGAAGTCTCGGCAGAGCTGGTCTCAGAGACGGTACCTTGCCTCCCCCAGCCCACAATGCTTTGGGCATGAGTGGCCTCGGTCTGTGCGCTGTAGAGCCTTTGTTGGCGTCGCAGTGCCGCGCGCCATTGACGGGCATGACTAGTGATTGTTCGAAGTTCCTCCCGTTCTTGTCGGGTGGCAGAGAGTCTCTCAGAGTCTGGGGTCCGATTGACCCAAAGAAAGTCTGGGCTAGTGCCACTGGACCGTCCTCTTCCTCGTCTCGTTGACATGGTACAGCATGCATGATAGAAGGTCCATATTGCATGCCACTGGTAGCGGCAGGGAACTGAAGGACATATCTACTTTGCGCATCATTGATCGTCTTCCGAATCAAGCCCGGCAGGAAAAGTAGTAAGCCCAATCGATCGAAGGCCAAGGACGCTTCCACTGTCGCATGTGTGAGATCGAGGCAACCTCGTAAAAGCACGGTTCGACAGATCCAGGTCTGATAGTGGTCGACATAAAGACTCAACGGTAAAGATCCGCAGGGGCACTGCGGAAACGCCTTCGAGTACTTGCCTTGTCCCGGTTTCTAGACGGCAGGGCCGGAGGCAAAATGCGCATTGGGGCGACAGGGGTCAAGCTGCTTCTGAGTGGTGGCTGCATCCACGGGCCCTCCACCGGTACGCGAACCAACCAGGCTCGAGCCACCTTCTCCCTCCTGGAGTTTTTGCTCAGTTGGTCCAGATCATTCAGCCTAGCGCGAAGCCCCTCTTCCGTTCTGCCTTATGCCGCCCATTCTTGAATGGAAAGTCGTACAACGCGCCTGCCGGCATGCCGTCTTCTCATTTTCAAATTCTTTGCGGGACGGTCCCTGTAAGCGTGCAACAAGCGGTTCTTTTCTTACCTTGCAACCTCCAAATCCACGTTCCGGCTTGCGCTAATTCAGACGGCAGTGGATCATGGCATTTGTGGGCTGTTCAGAGAGCCTGGTACTCCGTAAGTACTCCGATTTTACTGCGAAAATTTAGTAAGCCGGCCGGGCTGATTGGGCTCCCAACCACTGCTGCGACGTCAAGACTTGTTTCGTTCCCACGCATCGAACAGGCCGGCTGTCCTGTTGACCGTATTTCAGAGTGGTAGCGAATACTTGCCACCCAAGGCTGGATTTAAAGCAGCCAGACAGGACGATAGAGTTCACGCCTGTCGAACAGATGACAAGTAACCGGTATTGCATGGAAGAATGATCAGGATAGCGCCAATTTCTGAGATATTGCGCACGGTTGACAGACGTCACATCTGCCCCTGAGGCATTGGTGTCAAACGGATCATATTGGAGCGTGCTGTAAGAGAGGAAAAATTTTCGACGGCATCGAGGATGGTGCCGCGAGAAAATGCTTGCTCATTGTGCCACCAAGGTTATGCAATCACCAGAGACGCCTTGCCATCGTACAGCTAAGTCCGCCGGATATCTCGATTCAAATTGGGCACCCGCAGCGGAAATATCGAACTTACCTTGGTACTTCCGGTTTGCCTGTGAGAAATGCGGTGGATGAAATCCACACGCTGCCATACAGCGTGGAAGGTTGTGATAAGTTATGATGTCGCTAGATTCGAAGTTACCAGATTATGAACAAGACGACTTTGTCCCGTGCAGAGGCGATTCTTCAGCCCTGCTGCAAGTGCTCGGGAGCTTCGTAGTTCCAGCAGGAGCCGCTTCTGATACGAAAGAATTTTTGCTCTAGGCAGGACACGAGAGTGGAATGGATGCCACGGAGCTCACATCAGAATCTTGTAGACCCCCATCGGTGAGCGTAGGAGCCGTGCTGTGAACCGAACAGAGAGCCGACAAGGCCGCAGATGACAGCTTAAGGAGCCAGAGGAGTCAAGACCACCACCGACAAAGAAGTGAGTCGAGCACAGTCATGAATCAATCAATTGCTGCTTTAGCTGCCCATGATGGACCTTTTCGCTTTGCCTGCGGTGGCGAGAGTAGCGAGGTCACCATCTTTCTTTGCCTGCGCAGAAGCTCGAGACTACTCGCAGAACGTCGGCGGAAGGGACAGGAAGACAAGAAAGAGATAGGAAGGGAGCACGCAAAGGGGACCGAATGATGTTATGGAGCCCGGGAAACGGATGAATGTTTATGCCAACATCGACTACGCTGTCCGAAACTTGCCGACGCCTTACTGCTCCCTACCTCGTACAGATTGACCAGTCATGCAAGGCACACGATTCCCACCACTCATGCCTGGATGGAGACTGAGGGGATAGGTTCTAGTCGACCTCGTGCTTGCCCTAGAGCTCACATCAGTGGTCTTGGTATAGACCTTTGTTGAAAAGTTGGCCTTAGTAAGTTGTTTCCACCACCCTCGCGGCGGCTTACCAAGTACAAACTCTCTCAAGCTCTCCTCCATGGCCTCCATCAAGGCGAATTGTCGCAAGGTCATCTGCATTGGCCGAAACTATGCGTCTGCACTCCCCGCTCTTTGGCACGGGAAATTGTCAATACTGATACATCCTGCCGCAGGGATCATATAACCGAGCTGTCGTCTGCTCGTCCCTCGCAACCGTTCTTCTTCCTCAAGCCACCCTCGTCCATCCTCCTCCCGAACAAGGGTCCCATCGTCCGCCCCCGCGGCGTGAATCTGCATCATGAAGTCGAGCTTGGCCTAGTCATTGGAGAAACACCAACCCCGCTAAAGAACCTGCGGGCGGATGATTCTCGCTTCCTCGACCATATCAAGTGCTATTTCCTGGGTATCGATGTGACCGCTCGAAATGTACAAGATGAAGCAAAGAAGAAGGGCCTTCCTTGGACCATCGCGAAGGGCTTTGATACCTTCTTGCCCATCAGCCACGAGATCCCCTTTGACCGCATCTCAGATCCTCACGACGTTGTGCTGTGGTTGAAAGTTAACGGCGAGGTCAGACAAAAGGATAATTCCAACTTGATGTTGTTTAATATTCCTAGAATGCTGAGTGACATCAGCAAGGTCATGACACTGGAAGAAGGCGACATTATATTGACAGGCACCCCCAAAGGCGTCGGCCCGCTCAAGGGCGGAGACAAGGTTGAATGCGGTCTAGAGGCAGACGGTCTCGAAGTGGTCGAGGCGAAAATTGCAGTTGACGTGGTGGATGATGACTCCGAAGATGGATATGTGTTCAGGGAGACATGAGGCTTCAGCAAAAATTTATTGTGACCAGGTAATGAAATTGATGCCCAGGGCCCGTCATCATCAGCGCCATCAAATGTTGTGTCAAAGACATTCATCAACGTGACCCCTTTTGGACATTGCCGCCATGTCGACTGAGATTCGCATTTGATCTGCTACCTACTCTTCGTCTGTAGTAGGTAGAATAGGGATCTCTGGCGGCGGTGGCAGAGGCAGTCGTCTCTTTTTGTGTCCTCTTGGTTGACGTGCTGTCGTGGAAACCGAAGGCTTGGAAAGATTCCCATCATACAAAAACCCTTCGTCGTTACTGCTCTCTTCCACTGACTTTGCGATGCCTCCGCGAAATGACACAAGTTGAGGGATTGAAATGGCGTGATCGTCTCCAACCCTAGCCTTCGAGCGGGATTTCAGTCGCTTTGAGTAATGTCCAACTTCAACCCGGGCAGCCTTTCTCTTGTGGCTTTTGCGACTCTCTGTTGGGACTGCTGTGCCTTTTGTCGATCGACCCTTGTCCATCATCTTGGGGAGCTCTACACCTGCCGTTTCAGATTCTCGCATACCGGCTCGCCGTTCGGTGGGATTGTCGGATTGTGGCCGGTTCTGCGTTTTGGGACATTCATTGCCAGCTTGGTTCTTAGGCTTCGATTCTTGACCCTTGTCCCGTTCGACACGGTGAGCAAAATAACCTTGTATTGACGTGAGCTCGGGCTGTTTTCCTGCATGGCCAGCATTAAGACCTTGTTTTTCGGCTACCCGTTGACTTCGCCGCAGCGGCACATCGACGTTGACTTGTCGAAGTTCGCCTTTGCTACTTTTCTTGCTTTTCGCAGCGCCTGTATCCCGCCCCGACTTGCCAACTGCGGCAAGCACTGCACCTATCCCTTTTGGATGTACCAAAGTTTCTGTGTCCATCCCTGCTTTGGTTGCATTGTCGGCGAAAAGTTGGGAGCACAGGTTACCAAAGGTGGTAACGTTGGCCCAAGTCCATCCACTTGAGTCGAGCCACTGCTGACATTGCTTTCTATGGCTTTCCTTGAAGAGTCCGTTCACAAAGTTGTGGACGATTGTTCCCTCAAATTGACGTGGCAAGGCTTCGACAATGTTCTGACCCTGGTTGTAGTAGGAATCCCAGCCGTCAAATCTCCTCTGTCGGAGGGTCTTGATCTCGGCGAGCTGAGTGGCCTCTACTGTGGGCGGTGACAACATCTTCAAAGAGTCGTTGTGTGCCGGTTCGCTGTAGCAGTGGCCAGCATAGCTGATCGTGTGTGCGTTGGCGTCGAGATCGAGATCATCTGGGACTGTCGTCTCTCGCGGTTCAGGGCCCTCATGGTTTCCATGTTGAGAATCCTGTACCTGGGCCAACTTACCTGCTGCAAAGAGGTCAGCTGCGCTTTCGTCAGATAGGATATGTTGGTCATGGTTACCTGGCTCAAGAGGATGGCACCTGCGCTCCAGAGTATCTGAAATGTGGCTGACCGAGTCGGCCACAACAGCAGCGGCATTTCGGCGAGTTGAAAACTCATTTACGCGGGTTTCCAGCATTTCCATGACCGCAACATCTGCCTTGCCATCGAGAGCGCTTTGCAGAGTCTCAAGTGAAGCTAGGGTGCGTCGAGCTTGTTGTTGTTGGACACTAGCTAGGTTCTCACAATCAGTACGTACTGCTTCAAGCTGCTTCTCGATAACGGCCCTTTGTGCGCGTTCATCTTCCTGTCTCTTGCGACAAGAAGCTCTGATATTTGAAGTCTCGGTTTGCATTGCTCTGTGTGACTGCTCTAGCTCTCGGGCCTGCTCGTTGAGTTGGGAGTCAAGCCTGTCCATGAGAGCAACAGCTTTTTTAGCGTTGATATCGATTGATACCTTCATGGGCTCGATCTCCTTTTTGACGGTAGCCATTTGATTTGCTCTCAGGTCTCTCACCTCGTCACGCAAAGTGGCAAGCTCTTTGGCACAGGTCTTGAGCTGCTCGTGCAGGAATACATTTTCTCGGCGAATTTGATGGGCTCTAAGCAGGTCAATGGCATAGTTGACCATGGCCTTTCGATCTGAAAGCGGAGTGACAGACATTGTGCGGGTGTAGGCCGACTTGTAGAGGGAGACGTTTGGGTTGAAGGGAGGTACGGGGTACTCTACGCAAAAGGACTTTGAAGGGTATTGGTACCTCCCCTCCGAAAGGCAGGTCCAGAACAGAGAAAATACAGAATTCGGTACAAGCACCTTTCATTCTGGAATCAAGCTCTACCTATCTATTGCAAAGAAGCAAATGAAACCATTGTTCCCCCGTTTCATGTCACATGAGAATTTGCTGTCGGATTCTTGTGCGCAGTTGGAGAACCACAGCCAACAACGATTGTCAGCTAAGCATTAAGAAGCAGAGACGCCCGCGAAATCTGCCACATAAGCGACACAATGCCGTCAGGCTGCGGTATCACCTCACCGCGCTCGTATGCTGAGGAAAGCGTCCATGCGATCGTAACAAGAGTTTTGGAAACATGACTTTTCTAGGTGTGCAGCGACAATCTTGAGCCAAGCAGTCGGAGACAGGCTTCATCCCACTTTTCTCAGTTAGTCGCGTACAGGTGTGTCAACTAACGCCGTCCACATGCCCATCTCGGAAAATAGTTTGAACTGGCCTAGATGAGGTCTGAAAGAACGATTTAGCAAAATTTCAAAATCTTAGAGGGTGGGGGTTTTACATACCAGCAACGTTCATTGGCATCTCTTCGATTTGAGTGCTGTAGAATTGCTCGATTTCCCTCATCATGCGGACATCATCGGCGGTGACGAAGTTGATGGCAACACCTTTTCGGCCGAAACGACCACCACGTCCAATACGGTGAATGTAGTTCTCACGGTTGGCAGGAAGATCGTAGTTTATGACCAGTGAGACTTGTTGAACATCGATGCCACGAGCCAAAAGGTCAGTGGCAATGAGAACTCGTGAAGATCCCGACCGGAACTCCTTCATGATCACATCGCGTTGTGCCTGCTCCATATCACCATGCATGGCAGAGACGGTGAAGTCGCGCGCCTGGAGCTTATCGGTGAGCCAGTCGACCTTTCTTCTGGTGTTGCAGAAGATGACTGCTTGTGTGATGGTGACCGTCTCGTAGAGATCGGAGAGGGTGTCGAGCTTCCATTCTTCCTTCTCAACCGCGATGTAGAATTGTTTGATACCTTCGAGGGTCAGTTCCGCCTTCTTGACAAGAATACGGACAGGGTCGCGCATGAATTTGGTGGTGACTTCGAGAACGTCTTGTGGCATCGTGGCGGACAGGAGAACAACTTGAGTAGACTGCGGGAGGAGTTGGAAGATGTCGTAGATTTGCTCGGTGAAACCACGCTGCATAATGTTAGTATTCTGCAAAGTGGCGGCGATGACAGAGACAGGGACAGTCACGGAGTGGGAATCACTTACAGAAAGCATCTCATCAGCCTCGTCCAAGATGAACATCTTCATGCTGTCGGTTTTCAGCACGCGGCGCTGGATCATGTCGTGCACTCGTCCAGGAGTGCCGACGACCACCTGAGGGCCATCTTGGAGCGCTTTCATATCTTCTCGAACATTGGTTCCGCCGATGCAAGCGTGGCACTCCACATTCATAAAGTCGCCAATTGCCACCACCACTTTTTGGATCTGCTGCGCCAGCTCACGCGTCGGGGCGAGGATGAGAGCCTGGCAAGCCTTGAGGTTGGGATCGATTTTCTGGAGGCAGGAAATAGAGAATGTAGCCGTCTTTCCGGTGCCGGATTGCGCCTGGGCGATCACATCCGATCCTGGGCGTTTCTGGTCAGTTTTTGCTGAAAAAGAAGAAGGGAAAAACAGTCGGCTGCGACGAACCTTTGATCACCGGCATTATTGCACGCTGCTGTATCGCTGAGGGGCGCTCAAAGCCGTAGGCATAAACGCCTTCCGTTGATTATTAGCATATAGAACATGGTGTGATGTTGTAAAGACCTTGGGGTTGGAAGGGCGGGGGGTTCGACTGGAAGGTCGGAGACATACCACGCAGCAAATCCGGCTTCAAACCCATCGCATCAAAGGAGTCGGTGACTTCATCGTAGTTTGACTCGATTTGGGATTCAGGGACTTCTTCGAGACCTTTGTCTGCCATGATTGCGTTCTTAATGCTGTTTCTGCTGATGCAGCTGTTGATCGGAAATGCGAAAAGGTGATTTGGCGCTGGGATAATCGCGCCTGTTAGTTGACAATGATATGAAGAACGAGAAGAACAATCTCAAGTGAGAAGTTCAGTGCGGATGTTGATGGTTTTGTATGTGGTTAAGTTTGGAAAACTGAAAATGAAAAATTTGAGGCGCAGGCGTGGAACCATCAAGAAACGAGGGAGGCTTGGCAGGTGGCAATAATACTCACTCTTGGGAGCGGCGTCTGGGGCGGCATTCTTCATTAGTACAGGCACATACTGGCCACACAATGAATAGTGTCCCGTACCGGGAAGTTCGCCGGCGTCTCGAGTCGCAGCCGCAGCTGCTTGTCCGCTTCCTACTTTGTGTCAATGTGTTTCCATCGTATGCATTGCGACGGCCATATGGCATCCTTCTCTAAGAGCAATGTTAGCATATCGAATCCAATGAACGTGGAATTCCTCACCCTCTACCTTTTGGGCGAGCTTGGCCTATTGATATTTCAGCGACTTGCTCTCAAAGAATGTCACAAATATACTGCGCGATTAAACGCGCACTGCCAGGGATATAGAGGTATTGTATGCCACCCATCCTATAAAATGATTTTTTATTTTTTATATTTTTTTTCTCCCTGTTTTTTACGAAGGTTTTCAGCTTCTGCGGCGGAAGCGCCACGGGGGGCAGCAGCGGCCACAGCGGGATTAATGGACCGCATATCATGGTCAGTATCCGATTGAAATGTAAGCCAAACAAATGAGGTGAAAAGAGAAGGGTCTTCTGAGAGAGATTGACACGGTCGATCGTTCAGTACTTCGAGGCCAGGTGGCTGAAGTGGCGATCTCAAGCATTCAATATGTGTTTCTGGCCATGTCGGGAAATGAAAACTGGGCCCAACTGTGCATTGCTCTGGGGACTTTGTAGTGTAGAGTGCAATCGGAAGTGTGGGCTTTACTAAAACGAATCACTTACAGTAAAGGTGGGATTCACGGACGCAGGCTGACGATTCGACATTCTTTAAAATGTCTTGATGGGAAGAAAGAGAAAAATCTAAGAACGAGGAGCTATTTTTCTACAAATCCATTCCAACGGTCTTAGCTCTACACGTGCGAACAGTGCCGCCCCGACACCACCTACCTAGGTACCTGTAGGTATTGAACCCATTGTTACCCCGTACAATACCTCTTTGTTCATACCAAATCTTGGGGAGAGAAGGTGGATGCAAACCCAGTACAAGTACCTACTTGTAGTACCGAGTACGCGGGTGAGTTCCCAGGTATGGCTAGCTCCGGAATTGTAGATTAGCCAAAGCCAATGGGAATCATATCCACGAGGGCCTCGACCCTTCGCTGGCGGTCTCCGGTTACCAATTCGAAGTTCAACTCACTTCACTTTCCGAGAAGTAAACACACATCATTCTGCTTCATAGTAGACAAGGCTCTGGCACAAATAGTCGATATTAGTGGTACCATTGTCGAGCCAGACCGTGCCTTTCAAAAGAACTACATATTGCCCCTCTTGCAGTGGTTGGGATGGTGTTGTACGAAAGGTTGAGTTGTGGACCTGTCTGGTTGATTGTGTCCTGTCCCCCTGGCTACTCAGAGAGACTCTGCCTGTTTATATATACATTGGCCTGTAACCACAAGAGCATTCTCGAAACCTCCTACTCCGTCGCCATCCTGTCACAGAACTGCAGGAACAACGAGGTTGAGGCAGTTTGCGCAGTTGGTGAAGCGTCTAGCATCTCAGGTGGTTTACCACAGTGGCTATCTTGTAACCCTGTCAACAGATGGTCTCCAGGTACGAGATATCGATTTCGAGCTCTGATCAAGTGAACGTAGATCTCAACCCACGGTCAACCGAGGAGAAGAGAGCACGACCTCATCGGGGGTATGCTCCGTTGCTTCAAAGTACTCCATCTTTTTTGGACGACTCGGATGATGATGAGGAGGACGACAAGGGCCAGTCTTAGGAAGACGAGACGAGCCTGAGTCCATTGAGCAAGAGGAAGAGGTCGACTCTCTGAAGCCTCGGAGGCTAGAGGCCGTTGTCCTCGATGATGAGGACGACGACGTCGCTGACGAGGTTGATGAGAGTGCCCCCACCCCAACGCAGCGCCGCGGATCTCGAGCGTTGGCTAGCAAAGTGTCCTGTGTACACTATGCTCGCAGCCTTGTCGGTTGAAGAGAAGAGCCGACGAAAGGAATGCTATCTGGAGCGTCTGAGGTACATTGTCAATGGCTTCAAGCGACGCTCTGAGGTGATACCTTGGAAGGTTCTGTCGACTTATGACAGAGATGCCAAACCATTGACGGCGTCTTGATGGCAATTTATCGGCCAGACTGACCCGCATATGGTGCTACAAATGCTGGCCAAAGCTGCCCCAGAGGCTGTCCAGTTGGAGTTGGAGTCCGCTGGCAAAAAAGGAGCTTTTGCTTCTGGCCTGTCAGTGGAAAGGAGTGACTCTTTGGGACTTTACCTTGATGCTGTCACAGGGTCTGCAAGCGTCAGCGACGACGAGATGGAGGGCTACGTGGGGGTTGGTGACGCGCAAAGATGGCCTTACAGGTCGTCTGTCTCACTAGCCGAATGCAGCCGCTGGCATATTGTCGGCAGACCACGGAGCTCTTGAGAAGAAGATTAGCAAGGAGGTGCTGACATCCACCTTCGCGTGCTGGCTGTCTTTAACAAATCATCGACGCCAAAGCCATACGTCATGGTCGGAAAGGCTGTCCACGTCATTCTTCTCAAGACATGGGAGAATCGACCAGGCTCGGATTTGACGCAACGATGCATCGAAATAATAGCGGCGGCGACCCTTAGAGACTTGCCAGCGAAGAACTTTATATGGTTGAAACCGGTATCTCAGTTGATACAAGGCCTAGGCCCTCCGAGGCCGACGAAATGCTCCAACAGGAATCGCT